TTGCTAAATAATTCTTTCTTAGTATTTTTATTTTGGTATTTAACTTAATTAACCTTATAGCGACACGTTGTGTTACGACACACAACAAACTCTTTTTAATCTTAAAGGTTACAACAGCAATACGCTTCATGGCTTCTGGTAGTTATCAAGCAGATATAGGCCATAATATTTATTCAGCAATTAGTCAACCGGCTGTAAGCAGATGTATTAACAATATTACAAAAGTTTTAAATGAACCTGAGGTATTTAATAGATGGATAAAGTGCCCTTCAAATTTACAAGAAGTAAAATCTGTAAGAGATGGGTAAATATGTTATTATCATTTAAAGATTGCTACAATAATATTATAGCAGTATTGTGAAGCAAAGAAATAATATTTTAATAATCTCAATAATATTAATAAGTACTGTATGGAAGTCAAAACAAATTAAAAATTTATTATGAGCAATTTTCTTACTGAGATGTAATGTAACTCTTAATAACTTTGTCTTAATTAGAATTGATATTAAATATTACTGTAAAAATTTTGAAAAAAACATTTTTCTAAAGTACTTTTAATGAACTGTACAGAATTTTTCCAAAATTTATTAAATAATTAATCCATATTGTATATAGGTTCTGGCAAAAATATCAATTTCCAGGAGTTATAGGATGCATAGATTGCACTCATATGGCAATAATTGCACCTCCTACATGTCATCCACAATTTCCAGAACATATATATGTAAATAGAAAAGGTTATCATTCTATTAATGTTCAATTAGTAAGTTATAAACATATATTGCCTTTATGTCGTATTATAATAAGGTAAAAATTATTTTTAATTCTATGTTAAAATTAAATTAATAAATAAAATTTTATTTTAATATATTTTTAAAATAAATTTCTAACTTGTAAATGATGATAAAATAATAATTTTTTTTAATGAAAAAAATAAATTGTTTATTTATCTTCAATTACATGTATTTTGTATTTTTTTTTAGATATGTGATAGCGATATGAAAATAATTCATGTAAATACAAAATATCCAGGTAGTACCCACGACAGCTATATATGGAATAATTGTAATTTTTTACAAATTTTACAACAATTACACAACCGTAGACATATTATCTTTTTGGTAGGTATAAATATTCTATATTTTATAAGCTTATTATTGATTATAAATGCTATTCTTTATATATTTGATATTTATATATATACATTTGATATATATATTTGTTTTATATGTATTTATATATTTATATGTATGTTGACTTATATATTTAATTTAATTTATTTATTTTCTGTTATTAAATAATAAAAAATATAATTATTTTTATGTTTTATACCTTAAAAATAGAAACAATTTAATCAGAAAAATTAAAATATTTTTATGTATTCTGATTTTATTCAAATAAAAACAACATTCATGTAATATTAATTGTTATTAAAAGGAATAAAATATAATAAATATATAATATATGAAATATGTAATGTTTGATTATATTGCTACTGAAGTTTTTCATGTTACAGGCGATTCTGGGTATGCCTTGAGACCTTGGTTATTGACTCCTATTATGAATGCTCAACTAAATTCTCCTGAAGATCGATATAATGTAGCACACAGACAAATTCGATCATTGATAGAAAGAACAAACGGTTTATTAAAAATGCGTTTTAGATGTTTACTGAAACATAGAGTATTACATTATAAACCAGATGTAGCATCGCGAATAATTAATTCCTGCGTAATATTACATAATATGTGCATTGAAGAAAATGTACCAATACTGCAACTAGAAGAAGAAGATTATGATTTTGGATTAAATGTTAATGATAATGAACATGAAAATTTAAATGAACGGCGAAACCGTATTAATCCTGAGCTTATTGCAGGAAGAAGGCTTCAACAGCGAATAATTCGAAATATTTTCACTTAAATATAATACAGAATATTATTTGTAATATGCAAATTTTTTATTTATACATACATCATACAAGGTAGTAAAATGCACTATAATTCTATGTCAGTACATATAAGTATGTATTTATAAATAAAACTGAAATAAACTTTTTATTTATGTTGAAACAATATCACAAAACAAAATATTTTATATTAAAATATTAAATTCTAGAATAATAATAAAAAAATTAAAAAAATTATAAACTTTTTAAACTCTCAACTACTTAATATAGTAATTCATTAAAGTAAAAAAAAATAGGAACTCTTTATTTACCCTGGTGAAAAAACATCTCATAATTTCCTAGAAAATTTTAAGAATTTTTCATAATTTTATTTTATGAAAAATTCTAAGAAAAAATTTCTTATTTATTCATATTTTAAAAAC